TAAACGATGGATATAACTGGCTGCGAAAAAAAATTTCGTATCTTTTTGGTCTGATAAACGAAAATTTTTTGAACATACTCGTAACAATTTTCATATCTTTTACGCAGCTCAATCGTTTGTCAAACAATTTTCAGTTCAATCATTTATCAGTTGTTACTAGTATTGGAGATCAAACAATTTTCTGCAACTTCTGTCCCATTGTTACTTCAGCAATAAACGCATGGCTCACAAGTGACATTATTCCTGCGGAAATTAAGGACGCTGTCTTCAGTATTGGAGCTGATTTGATCCCGGGCCAGATGGTTTAACAGCTATGTATTACCAGTCGAGCAATCGAATGGTCTAAGTGATTAACGATGGGACATAACTGGCACCTAAACTATTTTTGTTTCCTTTTATATATGTAATCAAAACTTAATCTCTTCTCAAAATCAAATATAAACATCAACACATTATTCATGAAAATTTATTTTTTCTATACAATTCATTCATCAATCTTATAATTTTTTTTTATTATTCGTCTAAACAGGAGCGGACCGAGAACTTTACTTAATATGGGCACATAGTATAACTTATATATAAGTTAGGAATATGTAAACAAATTTAGGTTAATTATTAAAAATAAAAAAAAATAAAAATGAATGTGGAACCTGTGCCACACCCCTTTTTCACATGGGTCTGCCCCCTGTTTCTAAATCGCGTTAACATTAATTTTACTTTGCAAAATACTGTTGAAATCTTCAGAAAGTTACATAAAAAATAAGTTTATTTATGTTAAATGATATTTTTTTTTCTATATTTAACTTTTTAAATATATAATTAAATATTTTTTTAAAAATAGAGAAGAAAAAGCCTACAATAAGTTTTGAAAAATGAACAATCAATAAACAATGAAAGACATATATTTTTTAATCGACTAAGAAGATGAAAAAATCAGAGTGCTAGAACGAAAAAATAATAAGGGAAAATTTGGAGAAATGCACGAAAATAAGAATATAATTTGACAATTACGCCATTGTTTAAGTTTTTCGAAAAATACACTTATGTATATATAATTTTACCAAATTGTCGAATATCTTAATATTTCTCAATTCTTAATATATTTTTTTTAAAAATGTGTTTAATAAATCGTTAGAAAATCTAAATAATATCCTTTTAATATGTCTTCACAATTATCTTTCCCATATCCTTTTAATATATTTTAAATTTTTATTAATTTAAAAATATAAAGAATTCAAGGCCGTCTCGTACCTCTCATTTTTTTTTCCTTTTCCTCTAGTTTCACATATTTTTCCTCTCATCTCATTAAGAGGTTTGTTGATACATGAAAAAAATTCGAGTTTCTAATTATGCTTCTATTTTGAAGAGAGTTCTATTTTTTTTTCGAAAATCATGTTGCATTTGGCTGTTCAGACTTTCTTCCAACTCTTTCCTGTACACATGAAAGTAATCACGATAAAATTTCAATGCAAGCAACACTATTTGTGTTCTATTATTTTAAACTGTTATTATGCGTTTGGTCTTTCTTTACCTTTCTTTTTCCATTACTTTCTTTTTGAATCTTGTACTTCATCTCTATATAGACTACATAAAGAAAAAAATATTTGTAAAATATACAAATCAAATCAAATCAAATTATAGATTTTCTTGTCACATAAAAAAGAAGAAGAGCAAGCCAAGACGATGAATGATAAATAATGTTCTTTTTTGCATATTCAAAGTAAAACAAAATAAACATATATGTGAATACATCATATTAAAACTTACTTTGTCCCGTAGATGATGATTTTAAGGAAAAGTATTTTTTTTTGTGGAGAATGCAACGTGATTTTTTTATATAAAGTTAAAAAACTTCATGATGAAGTCAAAATAAATAATAATTAACTAATTTATATTTGTTATTGTAAGAATATTAAATAGTTGAATAACATATTTATCTTAAAAACATATATTTATATTAAACATAAATAAATATAATATTTTTATTAATTTCAAATTTATATCTTAATTATTAAAATGTCTAATTTGGGGGAAACGTAAAATCACATTTAAGAAAGTGTAGTTTTCGATAAGAAAAAGACAGTTTTTTCAAATTTTAAATCCTAAATAGGGTATTTTTTCAAATTAAGTAGGTGTTTATTTTACACTTTATTTAATATAATACTCTATATAATAAATTAAAATTAAAACTGTCTAAAGGGAACAAACTAACCTGTTTCAAACGTTTGACTAAGATTTCATTTGTTATCATTATCAAAAAAAAAGGGAATAAAATAAAGAAAAAATAACATTAAAATACTACAACTAAATTGTGTTAATTTTTTTAATATCCGAAGTTTTTCGTTACCCAGTTTAATACCCTAACAAATTGTTTTGAACATTTTTGATATAGAACTTTTAAAATTATGCCTATTTTGGAGAATAAGTTCTAGAATTTTAATAAAAATATAAAAAATACTTAAAATCCAAATAAAATTTTTAAAAATAGTTTCAAAAAGTATTTTCAAATATAAAAAAAATGAGAAAATAAGTTTCGAAAACAAAAGTTGAAAATATTAAAAAAATTATAAAATATTTAAATTTAAAAGTTATAATTTGAAATTTTTTTATTTTTTTATCTATTTAAATAGTTATTTATATTTAAAATCAAGGGTTTAAATATCTTTCATATTTAGGTCTCTTTGAAAATGTCTATTTCGAGAAGGTAAACATTAATAATGGTACCAAATAGAAGGTAAAAGTGAAATCTCCAATTAAATATTAATCTCCCTAATATGTGGATGAAAAATTGTCTAAACTAGCACTTAGTATCACTAGATCTTTTGGCCGCGCTACGCGCGGCTAAACTCTGAAACAAAATTTCTTATCATATTATTTATATATAATATATAGTATAATTAAATTTATACTTAAAAACAAAATTTTAAATTAAATAGAAAAAAGATTACGATTGAAAAAATCATTATAGTTAATGCAAGTAAGAGTTTTATTAAAAAAATACTAATAATGAACAATTTTTTTTTCTAAATATAGATTTTCTAGTTTTCTAATAAAACCCTCATTTTATTTTTGGTATAAATAACTTACATAATAATTACTGTAATATTTTAATCTATAGTTTTATATTTTCTATTTATAAAATGTTGGTAGAAAATAATCACTATCAAAATCTGAAAATTAAGTATATAAAATGAATTGATTTTTATTTAAATATAAAATGATATTGTATAAATTTAACATTATATATATTTTGTTGTCATGAATAATGTTTATTTTTTCTATTTATTTATAAACGGGATGATATTAATTTATTCTTGTCATCAATGTTTTGAATACCAAACCGAAAATTAACTTCACATTGTAGCAAAATATCTATATATATGTATAACTATAAAATTATTTTTAAGACGTTTATCACTGTTTGAAGCTAAAATGATATAGAAATAAAATGAAAACTTTTCTAGGGATATGTTGTCTTGAATATTGGGATTGTTGTGTATTGAATCTATTATTATTTGTGTCTGGCTTTGTGTAATGGGGTTTGGTGTTGTTGCTCACTGTAAGCTATATATTGTGATGTGCTGACGTTTATTTGTTATGTATATATGATTTTGTAAACTTGTGGATGATTTGAGGTGCTGGAATTATTTTTTAAATGTGTTTTATTGGTTGGGACTTGGGAGGGATGTTTGTATTACGATAATGCCCCGTTTTAATTGCTAGCTAACAATTATTAAAAAACTGAACTTGACGTGTGAGAACTTAGCCATTGTTGTCTACCCTGTTTCATGATTATTGCTGGAGATTAACATTTAAGTTCGGGACAACATTGCTTGTGTTGCAAGATAGTCCACATAGGTAACTTGTTTTGTTTTCTTGGATAGGGACACTGCTTGAGGGTTGCTAGCTTAAGGTTGCTAGATAATCCTCTCGAAGCTCAAGACCCGAGTCTCCCGACGCCCGTATTTATTTCAGCAGTACGTGGGGGTTTCTTCTTATCAATTTGGTGAGGAATAGATGAGTTCTTCCGTAGCAAAAGTCCAGGGCAAAGTATAGCAAATTATTTGTGCCAATCTTTACGTTGATAGGCGTAAGTGAGGTTTTGTAGGAAGCGTTATGTGATTGATTTTGTTCTCGTAATGTTATTAATATGTAAGAACAATGTTAATTTTTTCATGAATATGCATTTTGCATCAGTATCCTACACAATTGCTAAATATTTGTTAGGATAATCAAATGACATAAAAAATGAAAAAAATATTTGTCTTAAGACCCTTAAATATTTGTTAAGATAATTGCTAAATATTTGATTATGAAAAAGTTTGGCAAATATTTTTCTTTCTTTTTTAATAACTGGAAAAATCTGATACGGTGGAGCTTAAAAATCAATGACATAAAAGTTTTAAAGTAGTCAGATTTGATAAGTTTGGAAATGTAAATTAAGAAGTAATGCAACGGCCGTGAACAATCAAAGGCCGCAGAGTAAAACATGTAGGCAACACACTATACTTAGCTTCCTAAGAAACTCCAGGACAATATACTTTTCTAATAGTTTTACCAGTATATCAAACCATATTTTGCTCACACAGAGAGCATCATATCATGAAGGCAAGGAGACAAATATTTAACCTTGCTACGTCCATGACTTAAAAAAATATGGGCCACAGCAACATATCATTTACATGGTACCAGAGAATCCCAGCCGAGAACCAGAGTATAGAGACGATCAACAACATGTTCAAACCGTTACACCAAAAGCAAGAGAAAGCTTCCACTAAACACATCTTCTACACCATTTGAAGCAATAATCAACAACGCAGACCCGTAGATCCAGAGATTGATGTGAAATAAACTTTGTAAAACACACAATACCAATACCAAGAGATTGTTTCCTTCCTTCCTTGAGAAAATCATAGTCATCTTCTTGTGTGGGAGGAGCAGATACAGGTTCAGGTGCCTTGGTGATTACATCGCGCTTGAAACTGCGTAGGCCACTACCTTTACGCCTCCACCGCAAGATGATCTTCTCGAGTAATCTTACAGACCAGATAATGGATCTGTATTGTTTCCTCACTTGATGTCCTCTCACATGAGCCTAAAAGGGTAATAATCAGTTTAAGAAACAGACATAAGACATAAGCCTTACAACTTGTTCTCAAGAAATGATTCAAACATGAATCTTGACGATTCTTTGTCGGATCAAACGGAACTCCATTCTCTTCTTCCAACCACGGTATTTTTCCTGAATATGAACAGCAGCAGCATGAACAGCACCGCTGCCGCTGCTTTTGCTCTATGCGTCCAGATCTCATCGTTGACCACATTGCATTGAAGGTCCATTAGAACGGCGCATAGCTCAGACAACAAACCGGGTCTGTCGGTTCCGGTTAGCTCAATGACAGAAAGTGATCATAAGAGAGCTCTTTGTTAATCTCAAAAAGGTACTTATATCTTCTTCGCAGCCCCTGCAAACAAAATAAAAAGGAAGAAACTTTGTTTTCACTATAATGTTCAACGAAAAAACAGTTCCTTTCAACATTCAACAATAAGATAACCAGTGGCTGATTCAATCATTGCTGTAAATTACTGATTTTGACTCGATGGCGAAAAACCAACAAAATTCGTAGCAGAGAGAATGACCTGGGTCTCTGCCGGTGATGGCGGTGAAGATGGATTTCAACTAATTAATATAATTTAAAATAAATGGAGCACAAATACATAATATATGACTGGATTGAAGATTTTTTTAAATTAGTAAGATGAAAAATAAAGAGAAAGAATAAGAGTTACTGACCTCAGTGGCACAGTGTAACCATTTTGGTCTTTGTCAACGAATTCGAAAATTTCTTTAAGCTCCTCTTCTGCATCACTTTCCTATACCATAACCACAAAAATCAAAGAGACAAACCCTAGAACACGATTTCAAACGAACCCATGATATAAAGACCTAAACTTTAACAAATCCATGATGAAAAGACCTAAAATTTAACAAATCCAGAAACGGAAACGAATCATCAGAGCCAAAATTGGATCAATCAATCATCAAAATCGAAAACATAGAACAGAGAGATGTGATGAACCCATCTTCCGATTCCTTGTGATTGTGTGAAAGATCTTCACGAAACTGATGATTGAAATCTCTGGAGGAAGAAGACGAAGACGAAGACGATCGCACTTGATAGCTTGCTCACAGAGCTCTGCAGGAGAAAGGTTGTAGAGAACGTGGGTGAACTTCAAGGAGCTATTACTGACGGCTTCCAAGGCCAGAGAGAAGATGGAAGCATGGCATATCATGAATGCATGGAAGCTTATCGCCTACAGTTTCAGGGAAAATAGATCGGAAACAAAGAGGAGGAAGTCGAAAAGGCCGATTAGGGGGTTCGACTGATCTAATGAGATTAGGGTTCGATTGATTTATTGATCTAATATGTGTAACCGTGAAGACGAAGAGAAAGATTATTCAGTTCTTAGGGTTTCCAAACCAATCCACCAAATGGGCCACAAACATGGCTTTTTGTCTGATCAAATACCACGATCAAAAGCCCATCACTAAAATATCCATATCAACGTGGAAAAAAGCACATGTCCCATTGGCTGAATATAATTGCTTACGTGGACGTAGTAAGAGTGCTTCATTAGCGGCTTTTAATAGTGTAGGATTTTTCATCTTTATCTTAACCACATTTACATTTGGTAAGATTTATAATTATAATTAAAATATAAATGAAAACTTAAATTTTTTTTAAAATTAAAATAGTTTCAAAAATTATTTTCGAATTTGAAAAAGAATATCTGAAAAAAGTTTTAAAACGTTTAAAAAATATGATAATTCGAAAACTTAATTTTTTATTTAAATAATTATTTATATTTATGGTGTAAATGTATTTTTCTCCTTAATGAATTTTTATACTTAGATATTTTTAAAAATATCCGTTTGAAGAAGGTAAACATGAATACCAAATGGAAGGTAAAAGTGAAACTCTCTCATAAACAAATATCCTAATAAGTTTCAAACGAAATTTCAAAAACCTTTAAAATTTCGAACAAATATCGGAAAATTCTAAGTTTATTTTTTTGTATGAGAAATAAAAGTAAATAAATTTAAATAATATTAATTTTGTAATAAAAATTTTAAGTTTTAAATATTGAATTTAGTTTGTTTACTGAAACCAAAACAAATTTATTTATTTTCCTTCAAAATAAAATTTTTAAAATCTTCTCATAGTTTATTTATATTCTTTCCTAAATAATAAAATAAAATTTAAATATTTTTCTTAGATTTTAGAAAAAAATCTATTTTGTTTGAAATGTAATAGTAATTTTAAATAAATAAAGTTTGGGTATTAATAGAGACACAATTTTAAAAGTTTGTATATTAACGTGAGAAAAATAAATAGTTGGGATATTAAAATTGATAGCAAAAAAATTGAATATTAAAAAGTTTAACGAAATTTAGTTGAATGAAATTTTTCTAGAATAAAAGAAAAGATTCTTAGCATGGGTTTGAATCTACCACCAATAGGATGAGGAAAGAAAACTAAAGCCATTACACTAGAATGACTCAATACAATGCCCTTATAAATATATATATATATAATTTTGGCGCCTTTGTTTTTAACATGTTTTATGGTGACTAAAGCCCTTGCTTCATGGGCTTTAGCGTAGTGCCGGCCCTGGTGAGGACCAAAGCTAGTAACTGACGGGTTTGACTGGTTTTTGGGAATGCTGAGGAACTGGTTGCTGGAGCCGTGAGTTAAGTGTACAACGATCCAGTGGAATCTGAGTAGGTACGGTGGCTACACATGCTGACCAAGACGGATGGAGAGGATTACAACATGTTCTGATCAGGAGATCAAGACTGGGTCGAGCATGATAGATAGATTGGATTGCTCTGTTGAGTCATTATTGGAGGTAATGGCCGTTGTGCCTAGTAAGTGTTCCGAGTGATCAGGAGGTGATCAGTATGTGTTCGGTGACTGGCTGATGATTTTTATAAGTGGCTGCCTGTGGAGTGTTAGCGTGTATAGTAATCTACCTCTGTTCTGGATGGCTGGGTGGGAGACTGAACCGTCTCTCTTTGTGATGAGTGGAGCATTATATTGAGTTTACCTTTTCTATTCTTGTATGGTTTTAATTAGAAGTTTAGATCGATAAACTTGGATTTTATTCATTATTTCTATATTAGATTAGGATTAGGATTAGGATTGATTGATTTGATTCCAATTCTTATTGGGTTTTGGTGTTTACATTCATTATACATAATCGATAGCAAAAGCATTGTAAAGCATGAATTATTTTGATTAATTATTAAGAGCTTGTGAACTCTAAAACCCTTTTTCTCGGATAGAGGTAGACTCTCAACGATTTCAAGAATTCAACGTCTTATAGATATTCCAAGAATGTTATTTGCATTATTGTAGTTTCTGCTACATCACTTTGTTACTTGGTCCTGTGTTAGGGATGGTTGGTTGATTGACTAAGGAACAAGGAGATTCAATGTAGTGTTTCATAGCTAGCTGGACGTGGAAGAATGACCATAGTAAGATGTATCTTACGGATGGATGAGTAGTCAACCAAGCACCAAGATAGTAAGGTTATTGTTTAAATATGTTTCGATTCTTACTGATTTGGTAGGATGATGGATTAGACTTAGTGAACACTGTGAACTGAACTTAACCTCGTTGAGGAAAAATAGATAAAAATTCTAGTATTGAGAAAAATATGGAAATGACTTATTTGGTCGAGTAAAGGAACCTGACATTATTGCACCATATGTGGAATGTTAACACATGAAAAAGGATACTGTCCCTCAAACACCATACATTCCCGTCTTCAAGAACCGGGTGAGCATGAGCATGTATTTTCCCGTATGGTGGTACCTCCGCTGCAACATAAGTATCATGCTTCGGCCTCTCATGCCTCGGCCTCACATGCTACTGCAAAAGATTGTGGTCCTAGTAAGCAACACGGTACTTATGTGGACAAGGCGGCACACCGAGATCATTTCTCTAGGCCACGTTCACCATCAAGGACCCGAGGAGATACATGGGCTAGGGAGAGTAACCTTGACGCACATAGACACCGGCGGTGGAATGACAATGATCGTAAAGAAGGTCATAGGGATATGATCTCTAGGCGTGGACAAGAAAAATCCCAGAGGTTTGGCGGAGCTAGGCAGGATGCAAGTCCTTACAGCCGAGGGAGTGATCAGCAATGGAGAGCAAAACCTAATATTGATACTTGTGCACCTGTTGACGGCGAGGTTCAACCGAAGGGTAAGGAGGTATCAGATGTTATTTTGAAGACCAATGAGTTGCAGCCGCGTGATGGTGACAGATATCAGAGGAGGCCTGCTAGTACAATTGTTACCCCAACTGCTGTGGAGCACTCAATGGAGCGTAACATAACAATTCGCACTAAGGGTGTTGCGAAAATACTCTCCTTCTCGCCTTTACGAGAACAAGATACTGATGATACGGAGCAAATGTTTGGAGCACTGAACGACATGGAGACAATGGATCAACAAACAGCTTGCTTAATGGAGTTTGAATCCAATGATTCAAATGATGATGATTTACTTTACTTGGAGAGGAGCTAAGGGAGGCTGAAGAAAGCATCATCAAAAGTACTACGGTTGTGGACAAGAGCAGCGATACTGTAAGAAATGCTGGAAGAAAGGATGGAAGCAAGCCTTCACGCCAAATGAGAACTGGTGGTAGACATAATGCTTCTTTGGGCATGTCTAACAAGAAATTTGATGTCCTTCGCAGAGGATCTCCCTCAAAACGATCCAAGACAGGATCCACTGGAGGTGATGCGAGACATGGGAATCGTCGACATGGGACAAAGAAGACTGGAGATGGTCGGTCAAAGGTTGATGGTTTGATGAGGTCCAAAAACTCATCCCACCATCATCCACGAAGACAATCAGTTGGAACTGTCGAGGGCTAGGAAACAACCTCATAGTTCGACGCCTTACGGAGATGTGTCAGAAGCATCGCCCATGACTTGTGTTTCTCTCTGAAACGAAGAATAGGAGGCTGATGTTGCAAGACATTCATGCCGACTTAGGATTTGATCGTTTGTATACCGTTGAGCCACTTGGACTCAGCGGAGGTTTAGCTTTATTTTTTATGGATGATTTTCAAGTTAAAGTTTTATTTTCAAATAACAGAATGATTGACATTGAGGCAGTCATTGATGAAATAAAAGTCTATATGACATTTGTGTATGGGGATCTTGTAGTAGAAAGAAGAGATATACTTTGGGAACGTCTTACGCGTTTCTCAACGACAAGAAATGGACCTTGGTTTATGATAGGTGATTTTAATGAAATTACTTGTCATGAGGAGAAAGAAGGAGGCAGGCAACGCACAGATAGTTCTTTCTTGCCTTTTAAGCAGATGCTCAGTGATTGTGGTATGCTAGATTTCCCTTTTACAGGGAACATGCTTTCCTGGGTAGGAAGAAGAGCAGGGAGTGCTACTGTTCGATGTCGCCTAGATAGGGCTGTGGGTAATGAGGACTGGCATGAGAAATTTCCTCATTCCAAAGTGCAGTATTTGAGGCTTTGGGGCTCGGATCATCGTCCCGTCCTAGCTGATATCCTTAAGAAGAAGCCGCAAAGATCAAAAAAATTCAAATTTGATAAGAGATGGCTTCAGAATGAGGAACTCAGGCAGATTATAATTGAAGGATGGAAATCACCGGATCTCCTACTGGATGCAAGTATTATGGAGCATATCGCAAGTTTCAGGCGAGCATTATCTGATTGGAAAAGGCAACATAATCTGAACTCAGAGAAAAGTGTAGAGGAGTTAAAGGAAAATGTGGATCAATTATCTTCCAATGATGACGCCACTACCGAGGAGATTGCAGCGGCTCTAAAAGAATTGTCTGACGCTCTTAAGGCGGTAGAGTTGTTCTGGAAACATAAGTGTAGGGTCTTTTGGTTAAGGGAAGGAGATAGAAATACTAAATTTTTTCACGCACTCACGAAGCAGAGAAGAGCGAGGAACAGGATAACCCAATTACTAGATGCATATGGGAATGTTGTAGAGGATGAGGAAGGACTGGTAGCCATTGCTAGCAGTTACTTCCGACACATTTTCCAATAATCAAACCCGGAGGAGATAGAGGATGCACTTTCAGAAGTTACCACTACAATTACGCCAGCAGATAATGAAGGCCTAACAGCTCTGGTCACAGAGTGGGAAGTTAAGTTGGCTCTTTTTTCTATGCACCCTGAGAAAGCTCCAGGACCCGATGGAATGACAGCTTTGTTTTATCAACAATTTTGGGATATCGAAAGGATGATCTAACTCTTATGGTTAATCAATTCCTTTTCCAAGGGACTTTACCTACTGGACTAAATGATACCAACATATGTCTTATCCCAAAAGTAGAGAACCCAAACCAGATGAGGCAGTTAAGACCTATTAGTCTTTGTAATGTTAGTTACAAGATTATCTCTAAGGTCCTATGTCAGAGATTAAAAAAGGTCCTACCAGATAGGATTTCAGAAACCCAGTCAGCCTTTGTTGCTGGGAGACAGATATCTGACAACATTATGATAGCCTAGGAGATGTTCCATGCCTTAAGAACAAAACCGAGTGGACGGAATAAGAGGATGGCTA